TGGCTTGCTAAAGGTCATGCAAGAATTAGGTCAGGGGAAAGGTGGCCTTAAAACCCAAATAGTGTAGTCCCAACAAGGACTCTCTGCAGCTGTTACAGGGAGTTTCAGTCATCACTCTGACATACTCAGGAAGAAGGAACCTCTTCTCCGTCAGATTGGCCTGTGCTGTGTCTGTGCTATATCTTCCTGATCGCCAATCCAAACAGGAGGGCCTAGACTACTACCAGTGGCATCACTCCTGGGCAGTGGTCCTGAGTTACATGAGAAAGTCAGCTGGGTGTGAGCCAGAGGGGGCAAGCCAGTGGCCAGCATTCCTCCATGCCTCTGTTTCCGTTCCCACCGGGGCTCCTACCTTGACTTCCCTTGCTGATGGATCACAAAGTAAAATAAACCCTTTCCTCTCCAAGTTGGTTTTGGTCAGAGTAGCTTATCCCAGCGACAGAAAGAAGACAGACACTCTGGAGAAAGAACTGACTCCCTCTCAAAGGGTGAGAACCTCCAGACATAGTCGCTAAATTATAAATGCATTTGTGCCAGGCAGAGGCAGGCAGGTGGACCTCTGAGTTCGAGGCCTGCCTTGGCTAGAGTGAGTTCCAGGACAGCCAGGGCTACAAAGAGAAACCCTATCTCTAAAAGCACTAAATAGACCATAAAGATAGAGATAGATAGATAGATAGATAGATAGGGATGGATGGATGGATGGACTTGTGACAAGATACATCAAGGAATTGGCACAAACTAAAGATGTCTGCCAACAGAACAGATGTTCAAGAGAGAGCCCAGCTCAGTCTGTACATTTTAAGCGGGAAAACCCAGAGAGTAAAGGGACCAGCAGCTGTCACCCATAGGCTGACCTCAAAGCCTTCTCCCTAGCTTAAATCCCCTAAGCAAAAGCCACCATTTAGCCCTTATCCAACCTCTGCCTCAAACATGAATAAAGAGTATATAGTTGACACAGTTATCCTTACAGGTCTTATTTTTAAGAAATCTGGGACTAGGAGGTGACGTAGCCAGTATGGGGTTTGTTGCCCATCCCCAAGGATCCACGCAAAAGACAGGTGCTGCCTTGGAGGTCTGTGACCCCAGCACCCTGCCTAGAAGGTGGGACAGGTGGATCCCAGTGACCGGATGGTTAACCAAACCAGTGGAAACAAACTTTTAGTTTGTTTAGTGAGGAGACTTTGTCTCAAAAATAGAGGCCCGAAGAGATGGCTCAGCTCCTGAAAGTGCCTGCTGTCGAACCTGGCTATAAGTTTGGGCCCTGGAACTCACGGGGTGGAAGGAGAAACATACTCCTGCAAGTTGTCCTCTGAGCTCTGTACACACACACACACACACACACACACACACACACACACACACACACACACACACGTGCATGCTAAGTAAATAAAAACAAGTGAAGGAAAAACAGCGTGGACATCAATGGTGAACAACATTCTGATACCAACCTCTGGCCTCCACCAAATCTGAAGCCCCTCTTCCTACCACAATTGCTATTCTAGCTATAGTTCTCAAAGCAAGCAACTCAAAGGACAGACCACTAAGAAATGAAGATTCCTTGCCATTAGTTCAAACCACGCAATCAACAGCTCTGAGGGGGCAGGGCAGGAAACCTATCTTCCTGGTACCTTCCCCTAGGAACTCCTATGCACACCCAAGTCAGTCTTCATCTAGCTCATCAGAAATGCAGCTCGGATCCGTCCTTCTCATTGCCTCCTCCAACTGTGTCTACAGCAGCCCCCTCTGTCGTCACAACCTGAAATGTCTTTCTTCCCTGTCTGGAAGACAGTTCCCACAGCCTGGACTTTTCACATTCTAAAACCACACCTCCTCTAAATATTCTTCTACTCTGCAGTTCCGTCCCTGGGGTTCTACACAACAAAGTGGGGCTTGAGGAAAGATTAGCACAAAGCATCAGTTTGGGTTTTTGTTTGTTTGTTTGGGTGGGTTTTTTGTATTAAATTATCGTTCAGGTGTCAGTCAAATGAAAAGTCTTTTATTTTTTTGGTTTTTACGAGACAGGGTTTCTCTGTATTGTTTTGGTGTTTTGGAGGCTATTGGTCCAGCCCGGCCTCGAACTCACAGAGATCCGCCTGCCTCTGCCTCCCGAGTGCTGGGATTAAAGGCGTGCACCACGACCGCCCGGCCAAATGAAAAGTCTTAAATTGGGTAACATGGTTCTGTCTTGTCCTCAGCTCAGCCATGCTTATCCATCCCCATAGCCCTGAGCGTAGGAGCTCTCCATGCCTTTCTGTGGTAGTGTCCATGACTGACACATTGTATCCTCCATAGGTATGCCTTTGAATATGACCTACACTTTTACACTCGATGTACATGCCTCCTTCTAGGAGCCTTCCTGGATTTTCCCAACCCTCCTAGCACGCTCTTGTCTATGAAAGACCAAACTATTTTAGTACTACTCATTTGGAACCGAATTACTACTTAAGTGTCCTTTCCCTAGAGAAATAAATGCAAGCTCCTTGAGAGTAACCTGTGGCCTCTTTTATATCCCTGGGTTAGTTAGAAAGGTAAGCTTCCCTAGTAGAATTTGATCACACCAGTGGGCAGGCCAGCACATGGCTGGCTGAGATGTTCCACGGTAAAGAGAGGAGCCGCCGGAAGCTGTATACGCTCCTTCACATCCTGCACATCTGATTACTTCCAGCAGAGCTTTGGAGCCATACCTACGAACGAGTATGCCTCTTCATCTCCTCCAAGTAGGGAGCACAAAGTCTAAGCCCAGGAAATTCTACCTACAGCTGTGATGCGGTGGGTATACTTGGGTGACTGACACGGGGGAAGGTGGCCCTTTTGCAACTTGTCTCCGTTTCCAGGCCGGTGGACAGTGTTGCTGGGGTCCGCATAGTCATTTCAGAGAGCAGCAAGAGCATCCCTCAGTCAGAACCAGCCCCAGCACTTGATTCATTCTTTGGGCTGCTCTCTGTCTTGTTTTTAATCTGTCCAATGCCTGTCATATCCAATTCACACTTGCTACAAGGCAGAAGAGATAATGATTTTGAAAGCACTTTACGTTATCACACACAATAAAAATGTCAGGGCCACAGCATATGAATCTGCAGGGCTAATAAATAGCCTGGGAAGCCAGACAGGCTGTTCCCCACACTGGGCAAACACTGAGCAATAGGAGGCAAGGGCTCAACCTCCAACCCACCTGTGTTTACCATGTGACCTTGGGTGCCCACTTAGCTTCTCTGGAACTCGATGTCCTTGTCTGGAAATTTTACCTGTGCACTAGAAGATCTGGTCTAGGGCCAAATCCAGCATAAATGTAAGAACCTTGGAGAATGACTATCAAGCAACGAGCGCCGGTGCACACTTCCCTAGAAGAGCAGAGAGGAGAGGGTAGCATCCTGTTCTGCCCTGCATCTGGAGTAGACGCCAGTTCAGCTACCAGAGACACTCGGATGCATCCTTCAGACTGGAGCATGTGGAAACACACAGACCTGCTGCTCACCATCACTGCTCTCTGCCCACTGCTCATGCCCTCTTAGCACCTCCTGCAAGAATGCCCCACCTTCCTGCCACTGGAGACAAAGTTTTCTTCCCCTTTTTATGCAAAACCACAGATGTTTAGCACTCAGGTCTGTTTCTGAAGTTAGCTATCCCCTCCATGGCCCTTTGGGCATCATCGTGGATAACAGAAAAATGACAGCGAGCCAGAAGGAAAGGAAAGCAGAGTTCAGGGTCCTGTGGTTTGCCTGCTGTCCAAAGTGGAAGCCACACACATCTCCCGGAGCTCAGCTCATGTGGCTTACTAAGAGTTGCCCTAAAAGCCCCTTTAGTAACCATGGTTCCCGGAAGGTTCTATCACAGTCAGGAGCATTAAAAGAGCAGGGTTTCTTTTCCTCTCCATTTCCCCCTAAAACTCCCTGTCCTTGAGAAATATGTTTACAAATATTATGTAAAGTGATATGCCAAGGACATGTGCACCCTCTGACCCCTAAGATTTCATGAAGTTATCTGTGGTCTCAGTAGAAAGCGATTCCTCTGCAGCTCTTCATGAGGCAACACAGACAGCTCTCTGTGCAAACCAAAGAATCTTGAAAATATATTCATCCATAGCAACACTTGCTCCAGATAGAAACATGTAACAAACCTGAAGACAGAGCTATTTATTTCCCAATTTAACACTGTTTCTCCGAGAAGAGAGGGGGTGGGGGAAGACTGATTTCTCTAACTGTCCAAGTGCCAAGGTTGAATGCATTCAGTTTAAGGTATACTGGCAAGGCCTTTTTTTCCCCCAAATCCCTAATACTTGACAGTGTAATCAGTTAACAATGAACACAATTTCAGAAATAGTTTTTGCTCCTACAGTGTCTTGGCAATCAAAGCATGGACGCATGTCATCTTAAGATGCAAAGTTCTGACTTTCTATAACCACAGAGACCTTTTTTTAATACAGCATCCTAAACAGATGGGCAAAACTTAAGCTGGCCTAATGCTTCTGGGACTCACACCTTTTTCTTGTAGGTCAGCAGATGAGCTAACCAGTGATTTGGGAACAAGGAGGCTTCCTACCAGAGGGAATCTATAAAACTAATCACTGGGCTACCCAGGACAACGCCAGGATGCACAGGAAACCTCCAGTCTGAGCTCCACGTGCCTCTCCAAGGACGGAAAGACCCAACCACACGGCCACTCAGCGAGCCCACCATCCACTTGTAGAAGAAGGTACCAGATCCCCTCCGACAAGCTATGCACCTGCATTCTGGGGCTCTCCCAACTTGCAAGCACCCTGTACTGCCCATTTTCGGGAGGGCACATAGGGGACAGGGGATAGTGCCCACCTGCTAAATCCCATCTTTCTTATCCTAATGTGTATGCCTCTCCAGCTACGAAATAAAATGCGCCTCTTCAAGGAAATTGAGATTTATATGCACACACAACCACACACCCTTGAGCCCCACGACCAATCCCGGGTCAGCAAGTCTTTCCCTCAGACCCCGGGCTCCTGAACGTGGAGGGGCTGGACTCACCCAGTCCTCGAAGTGACGGCTCCCATTCTGCAACAGCTCCTCGAACTGAATGGTGCAGTTGGCCACGAAGTCGTCGTAGCCTATAGGAGCATCGTGAAAGACAGCCAGCTCGATCTTGCGCCCATTGCACACATCAGTGACGAACTCATCGTGCCAGGCCGGGCTATTGGTCTTCTGCTTGGTGGCTGTTTGGCCAATGCGCGAGTCATCCACGTTGAGAGCAATGTAGGGGTCCAGAAGGAAAGTCTGTGGCCGGGGTCCCACCGCATGGCGCAGCGACCAGGCTGTGGGCTTCAAGCTCACGGCCTCACAGATTTTGATCTTAAGAAGGCCATTGAACACTACCATGGTCGGGGCAGGGAACTGGAGCCGGGGTCACTCCGTCCGCCCCGAGGGCAGGAATGAAGAGCAGGCAGCAGGCACGCTGGGAGCCTGGGGGACTCCTGGGTCCCCTCTCGCCCCACCCCACTCTCTCGCTACACCTTGTGGCGCTGCGTCCTGGCGCCGGCGATTCTCAGCGAGTGCATGTATTTCCTCGCCGGATTCCTAACGGAAAACAGGGAGGGGGAGAGCTGGAGACGTCCGTTTTTGGAGCAAGTCTCTCCCCCCCACCACCACCGGCGACACCTCCACGGGAGGAGACGAGCTGTCGCCTCCGCTGCAAGCCGCGGGGGCTGACTCGCCTCCTCGCTGGTTCTCTGGGTCCGTGTGCGAAGAAGCAGGCGCCTCGCCCGGCGCTCACCTACCTTTCCGAAACATAATCCCCCGGCAATTTCGAGTCCCGAGGTGGAGGGGCGGGGGAGGCGGGACGGGGCGGGGACGAAAACCGGGGGCGCAGTTTTCAACCCGGATCCTCTTCGCCCACCCAGCGCTTGCCTCGGACGGCGCGGGGCGGAGGGTGGACTGAGGGATGTGCAGTCTATCCGGAGGGATGCATGTCGAGAGGAAATGGTCCTCCCCGGAGCCAAATTTTTTAAAAATCCACAAGCCTCACAGCCAGCCCGGCCGCCGCCACCAGGGCCAAGCAGTGGAGCGCCGCAGCCGGCTATCGCGAGGTGCCCGGCTCCCAGGATCTCACATCCGCGCGGGCTCGGGAGGTAGAGGTGGCCGCCACTCGGGCTCGGGGCGCAGGCCGGCACCCGGCGGTGCGCAGCGCGGCGGCGGGGCAGGGACTGCGACTCAGCGCGGCCCCTCCTCCCGGCCGCCGGCGCCCGCCCGCCCGCCGCGCTCCCCGCGTCCGCGCTCTCGGCTGCCGCCCGCTCGCCGGCTCGCCGCCCGCCAGACCGCTCAGCCCGCGATCTCCTTCCCTCGATCGCCGTGCGAGCGATTCACCCTCCCACTAATGCAGGAAATGCGCAAAGACGTCAGTGTGTGTGAGTGTGTGTGTGTGTGTGTGTGAGTGTGTGTGTGTGTGCACGCGCGCGCGCGCGCGCGACAGTGTTTGGGGAAATAGAAAGTTTTGCCGGTTGGGGGAGCAATACGGGAAAAGTGAGCTGAGCAGAAAACAGCAGCGAGTCGGCCAGCCCGGTCCGGTGGCGGCGGCGCGGGAGGGAGCTGAGGGAGGATTCCGAAAGGGCCCCGGGAGGGTGGCGGTGCTGGGAGGCGGGGGCGAGAGTCGCAGGCCTGGCCTGTGCGCCTCTGGTCCGCACTGGGAGAGCGGGGTCGGCACCCAGAGAGCGGGGGTGGGGGGAGCATCTCTCCCGCACTCGAAGGCCAATACTGTGTTTTAGAGCCCTGGCTGGAATGGAGGGGGTCGCAATGTCCTAGAAAACTCAGCACCTTTCTCAACTCCGCCTGTGCTGCGGCGGTCACCAGCCGCCCGCGGGAGAACTGGCCTGTTTGTCACTCTGTCCCGGGATTCTCTGCTGTGCGCGATGGGGGAGGGGCCACCCGGACTGCTGAGCTCTTTTGCTGGGTGTGAGTTTTGAAACCTAATTTTCCTCTTCCTTTTCCTTGGGGAGGCTCTCCCCTCTTGGGATCTGTCCCTGACTTGCTCGGGCTGCGAGAACTTGTTGACAAGTGGAAGCCTGGTAGAACCCCGGCCCGGCTCGGTTCGAGTGTCTGTTTATTTCTCAAAGTGACTCCTCCTACACATGCGGGACCTCTCGTGTGCCCCTTAAGGGGGGACAAGGCTCGGATCCACGCGCTGACAGCGGGCGTCCCGATTGCGGGAAAGCCGGCTGCGCCCTCCTGGGGGCTGGTGGTTGTATCCATGCTAATTTCCTCCGTAACCTTTAAACTCTCTCTGGAAGCCGCGCTGGCGGCGGCTGGTCACGTGAGGCCAGCCCTAGGCTTCTGGGGAAGAATTTCCTCCGCCCGGGATCGGGACCGGGGAAGGAGGCGAGCAGGGGACAGCCCTGAGCCGAGAGGACTGGGAACCTGGGAGGGCCGGGACGGAGCGCGCCAGGCCCGGGGCGCCGCGCAGCGGGAACTTCCAGCCTGCGCCCGGGAAGGGGCTGGTCCAGCAGCTCCGGGCTGGGTGAGTGGAAAAAGAAAACCTCCGCCCTCACCCGTGTGCCAAGGCAAGTTCGACTGTTCGTAGGGATCGTGAAAGACTGAGTGTTTATCTGCAGACGCTGATAAGTGGAGACCGAAATGTACAAACTGCAACCCGTTCACTTTTTCCTGTGTGGAAAAGGGTTATCATTCCCTGTGGCTTAAAGATGAGGCAAGAGGCAGGCTCGAGGAACGCAATATCAAGTGCAGTGCAACCCCCCCCCCCAAAAAAAAGAGTTCAGGAGTTTCACTGGCATTTAGGCGGATCTCCTCCCAAAGTCGAAACGTGCCGTCACGCCCCCTCACCCCCCCCCAGTTTACTGATATTCGTCGGAAACAGCCCTGTTGCATGGGATAACTTACTAAAAATGCAGCCTTGGGAACGATTATGGTCTTAAGATCAGTGACACTTAAAAAATAATAATTTTAAAACTTCTTTTCCGGACATGCAGTAAAAGCTAATGGCAAATGAGACTTTATCTTCAGAATGTGTGTTTAGGAAGCAGGCCCGGTGCTAAAAAACGATAGGGATGCATGTCTAAGTTTAAAGGATGCCAAAAAGCTCATTAAACAAAATGGTATGTAAGTCAGTTTTTTAAATAAAAGGTAATATGAATTTCCAGGATGAACAGAATATGCCAATTTTAGATCATTTTAAATAGTTCACAACGTAACAATTTGCTTTACTAGGTTTATTGGCGCCCATTAAGCTTTATACCTAAATGGAACGCTTCATTTGCCCTACTGGGCAGTTCTGTAAATCAAGGATTTCTTAAACTTAGAGATCCCGACTTAACTAGTTGGTGTTCCTGGCTTAACTGGTGGGTGTGTCCTACCATCTCCCCAATTTTGTCCATTAGACCCTATCTGACAAGCAAATAGACTTGGGATTGAAAATCATTGGCCTAAATCCCTTCTTTTGGGCCTATTAAACAAGAAATAAGTTTAAAACTAAAGAAACACTGAATTTGATTTTTTGGGATAGCTCATCCCCCTTCCCTCTCCTCCCACATCCTGCTTCCCACAGGCAAACATATTAAAGATTTAAAACATAGGAGTCTTTTGCCATCTCCATGACTACCATAAAACAGATAAGCTGCATGCTTCCATTACTGCTGCCTGCATCCTGGTTAATGTTATAGGGGGAGAAAAGGCCTGTTTCTTAAGAGACTACCCATGTATGCAATCAGACTGCCACTCCAGAGTGTAAACAACATTAGTCTACTTTCAGTTACAGGTCTTTTGCATTGGAAATACAAAACACTTGGCCAAAATAATAATAACAACAACAATAATAATAAATGCCAATACTGTATTGGATGAAGCTTTATATCAAAACGGAGAGTGCTGGTGTTCTTCATGCCAACACTGCTCTTACTACATCCTTGTTCTAGAATGAATCTCCCACCTCCCCACTCTCCAGCTTAGCCGCAAGAAGATATAAGACACCTGCTTGTCAAAGCTCCCCCCACTGCCCACCCCGGATTTCAAGACAGGGTCTCACTATGTAGCTCTGGCTGTCCTGGAACTCACTCTGTAGGCCAAGTTGGCCTCTAACTCCCACAGATTTTCCTGCCTCTGCCTCCTAAATTCTGGTGTCAAAGGCGTATGCCACTGCCATATAAGGGAGCACTATTAAATTTACCTGGAGGGGAGATTTATCTAAAATAACCTGCTTCAGACTCCAGATGCAAAGGAAAACAGGACCATACCAGTTAGGGCTTAGGATGTAAATTTCTGATCCTAATTACTTCATGGTTTAATCCCTCTCTTGACCCAGTATACAATGTAAAGGACAGGGAGGCAACTGTATATAAACTGAGTAAAATGCCCTTTTGGATTGTAACAATAGTCTAGATATTTCATAATCTTTGAGAGGGGGCAGAAGAGAAGAAGAAAGATGATGTAAGAATGTAACAAGGACGACGGAGGGGGCATGGGGAAAGGACTAATAGCTCGGTACAGTCCATGTTGCAACAATAGTTCCCGGAATAGGAGCAGCATCCCTTGCCTGGGGGAACTTAGGAAAGCATCCCTACCAGGCCCTTTGAGCCAGAATTCCTTCAGCAGCAGACAGGGAAAGTCAGGAGGCAAAGAGAACAGACCATGAACAACCAGGGAAGGGGAACGTAGCATGGCTTAGTCAGGTAAGAACAGGAGAGACCAGGCGGTGGGAACAGTTCCCGGGGGGCTAGAAGATGGATTTGAACTGCTTCCTAGAGAGGCACTGGACATTCCTGTGGTTGAGAAGTATTGCTAGAATGGATTCTTTAAAAGAAAAAAAAAAACAGTTTGGTGTCTGGGGTATAACCCAGGGATAGAGCCTTTACCTAGTGTGATTCAGGGTGGCCATGGGTTCAGTCCCTAGAACCGAATTGGGGAGGCACGGGGAGGATAGCAAATGGATGCTTTTCTCTTCTGTAACTTCACCCCAGCACACTCACCTGGAAACGGGGGACCGGAGAGATTCGCAACTGAAGATAATTTGTACTCTGCTCAAGAATGAAACCTTCCCTAGGTGTTCAGGTCTGCTAAAGGCAGCAGGGAAGGAGGGGCCAGAACCTTAGAGGCCTGTGCTAATTTCTGTGCCCCTGCTGCTGTACCAACCCTTGCAGTTTATAGACACTTACTGGGCCTGGAAAAGGTCGCCATGACCAGGGTCTATCGTTCATCCCTCATAGGCCACGTGGAAAAGAATTCAGGCCCCTGGCCCTGGGGACAGCATGTGCTCAGGCACAGTAACAGAAGCCTCCCACCACCTGGCCAACCCAGCCCCAGCCCAGCTCCCACCCACTCTGGCACACTCCCAACTCTGTCCTAGACTCACGTGTCTGTGCTCTGGCTTTTACCTGGTCCACCATGGCTAACTTTGGCTCTGGCCCTACTCTGAACTCTGTTGAACTCTCTTGAACCCGCAAGGAGATAGAGGGATCGATGGTCACCCTATAAAGATTAAACATGGATGCAGGGAAGCAGTGGCCTGGCACCCTCTTTCCATAGTTCCCTGGAATGACAGCCCACTACCTAGGACGCCACATGGAGATAATGTCCCTTATGCTGCTTCTTTCTCATATGTTGTGCTATGTCTGGAACCTTTCAATACTCTGTATTAATCCAAAGGTCTTTACTAAGTACTTGCTATGTAATAGATCCAGACATAAAGGGTATTGACTCAGTCATAGATGCCTGGTCTTGCATGTGGGAAGTCCTGGACTCAATCCTCAAGAACACACACACATGCACACAAGCACGTGCTAACTCACACGCACACACTCTTCTAGGATGGGTACTCTGGAGAAAATGGTTGTTGACTAACTCCTCCTCAGCTAAGGAGATGACTAGTTGAGTTCGTTTACTTGCTTATTAGTCAAGGTATGCTGTTGGTTGCTGGGATACGATCAGCAATCCCTGGATGCCAAGATAGCAGCATGTTGTAGGAGCTCTGCCCCACCTAGCATCCCTCATATAGCTGGTGATAGGCACAGAGCAAGGGTCCTCTGGAGGGTCTTCCACAAGCAAATAGTTCTGGGAAACCACTAAGTCTCTGCTACTCACCAGCCGATAGCTACAACCAGGAATATGATCCCTCTCACCTGACTGTAAGGAGGCTAGGAAGTTCTGCTATCTGGATGGGCAAGTCTCTGGAATATTCAGCCCTGGAGACTACTACAGACA